GCAGAGTCTTGGTGGGACCCTTCGTCTTGACTGTATGCGACATGCGCATTCTAGCCAATCGATTCGGTGGGCGGAGTTCCTCCGAGAGGCGTAAGCCTCCCCACTTCCGGAGCGCTATTCTCCCTTTTTCGACGAAATGTGTCCGTGATTGGGCTGGAAGGTATGGCAGGGCGTTTACTTTTGCGCAACAGTGAAAAAAACCCCAACCTAGTCCAGAGGCTGCCTTTAAGGGCCTGAATAAATGCAGAAATGCATCACACTGCAGCATTTTAGTGGTCATTTGTATTCCATAGGGAGACATATAATCCGTGTTTCTGTGAAAGACTGTTACTGATAATTACTCGACTGTGACCTATGATGCTCTTTCATTTCAGATAGCAATTCGATAAAAATCATACAATTCATTCATTCGTTTCTCAAGTGATTTTCTTCAGTTATCAAACTTACACTCTGTTCGTGAGCAATGCGACACATTAGAGGTACAAACATTTGTTTTTCACGTACTTTAGGACACGCTAAGAAAAAACCGGATCAAAATCACATAGAAGATTTGTCTCCAAATGTGCAGGTCTTTCTTGTTTCAGCATGAAATATCTGTCGCAAGTAATTGTCTACATGGAAATAGTAGATTTTGCCAATGCGATATGCTAAGAGCCAGGAATAAGAATTTTACGACTTTTAGAAAAGGAACTTTTACAAAAATCTTGCCATTTACTGAGATGGTCGTTGAGATTTTTGCGAGAGGTAGACGCAAGATCTATGTGATACAATTGCAAACACATTTTTGAGAGTTGTATTTTAATGGACACACTTTAGGAGGTCTTATTTGTAATATCTGAGTTACGTATATATCGATATCATAGAAGTTGTTCTAGATATCTTGAAATTCAGTCGACGATCAATGCAGAGCTGCTTTCTTGCAGACGTATGATCTCATGTAAGTGTTGCATGGAATGTCGTTCCAACGGCGATAGCTACTGTCCTTTGACGGATCTTTTCCGACATAGTCACTGTGTATCTGGAATATACGTCACTGGCTAAAATGAATGCCCAATACTGCCTCAGCTGACCTGCACGCAGTGCTCCTGTCCTTTGGTGTCGTTCGGCTCGCCCGGAGCCCAGTCTTTATAGTCGTACGGTGTTCCATCCGTCCATGTCCAAGTTGCACTGGCAGGGTAATTTGCTTGGGTCAGTCCTATCCAGGTAAGAGAACTACTGTCGCTGTAGTCCATACCGGATTCGGATACCTCTGAATTATATTGAACTTGTATTTCATACATCGACTGACCATTCT